CTGCAAAGTCACATCCTCGGCCCTGCTCATTAGTGACTCCCAGCTCTGGTCGGTGCCGCTGGCCTCAGGCGCTGAGACTGGGAGTTCACAAGAGTCTTTTAGGCTGCTCCTGAGTTTCTTTCCAAAGGGCTTTAATTAAAAACACATCTCAATGCCATATTTCTCCACCACACACACAAAAAAAATACCCTGGTCAGGGCTGTGGCTCCACAAAGAGTGGAAGTCATTTTCACAGAGCCATTAAGTTTTAGGTAAAAAAAAAAAAAAAAGGGATGACTGTGTAAGGACCACATCACCTGTCTACCTGTCTTCCACATCAAGATTTCTCTCTTTAACATGTGTGCAAAGGACTGGGCTGGCAGACTCGGTGAGAAATAAAGGAACAAATAGACAACCAACCAGAGCCTGGTTTTTATAATAATAAGCACAATGACTTATTCTTCAGACACCCTGAATTTCAGTGTAACAATCTGTCAGAAGGTGCACAACTGTCACCCCATGCGGCTCTGAGATGAAGGAAGCGCCCACACACCGCCAGCAGGAGTCAGGTGCAGGATCTTCCAGACCCTCTGCCCTGCTCTCAGCTGCTTCCTCTCTTGAAACCCTGGTTCTAGCTTGAAAGGTCCTTCCAATGCCGTGACTCCACAGTATCAGAGTAAAACATGAACCTTCAAAACATCCGTGCAAAGTCATCTATCACAATAACCATTGTCCACATGGGCCTGCCTGAGACCACCTCCCACAGTGGACCACTGCCTACTCTGCAGCTGTCTCAGACAGTGCCTCTGGAATGAGTTCAATGGTGACCCTTCAACACATCCATATCTTAATATTGTTAGAGTTTGATTTACCTTATTTGGTAAATGACTAAGTTTACCCATATTTATCCACATGGGCCTAGAATACAATTAGACACATTCTTTTAAGAGAGAGAATGAGGGATAAGAAGGTTGTAAAGAAAGACACTGGAATCCAAGTGATGCAAAGGGAACAGCTTTGGTAGGGAGCATGGTCCAAACCTGCCTTGATGTCAGAAGGCTTGCTTCCAAGGCTGTGATGGAACACACGCCCCTTATTGGAAGCCACAGCTCCAGGAAACACACACCCTCACAGTTTTGTCAGCAGACATCAACCAGATGCAGAGAAGTATGGCCTGGCATCTGGGAGGAAGAATCTGCACTGCGGAGAATGAGGTTATGTCTAGGGGTAAGAAGTTCCACACAGGGCACCTTTGGAAGGTCGGCTCTGGGGCTGGCTGATGGCAAAGGAATCTCATCATGCCCTTTCTACGGCCTTTGTAGTAAGGAGTATAGCTGAAGAGATGAAGGAGGCTACCAAAAACCCTGGAAGCTGTGAGGGCATAAGGCTTGGAAGCAACCTTCCACTTGTCACGGACTACAGGCGTAGAGGTGGCCAATCTCATTCCCACCTTCCTGCCTTCCTTCCACAAACAGCCACCAACCAAGGGCTCACTGTGTATCTAACACTGAACCAGGAGCCTGGTACACAGCTGTGAACACAAACTCCATGCCCCACTCCTCTTGGAGGAATCTCCATTTGGGAGGTGATTTTGCCTCACAAGGGACATTTGAAGATATCTGGAGACAGTTCTGGTTGTTCCAATGGGCACGGAGAGGATGCTACTGGCATCCAGTGGGTAGAGAGCAGGAAAGTTGGTAAACATTCTACAAGGCACAGGCCAGACCCCTGCAATGAAGAATCATCTCCAGGCCAAACTATTAAAGGTGCCCAAGCAGGTTACAGATGATGTGCAGTGCACCAGCTAGGAGGAAAAAGACAGAGCTGTAAGAACATGCTTGACAGGCAGATGTCATCCACCCTAACCAAAGGGTCAAGTCCATCTCCCCAGAGAATGTGGCGTGGAGGCTGGGAGCTGTAGCATGAGATTTGCAAGCATTTGCTTTTTGGTAGTTTAACTCGACAGTACAGCAAGAAGGGCAGGTGAGAGGTGTAGGATACAGAGCAGCAGGTAAACAAGGAACACTTTCAAAAGGGCTCCTGGGTCCCTTCTGGGGAAGGAGAGGGCCATCTTGATGGTGGTAAACGGTGGTACAACCTGGTCTTGAGCCTGGGCTTAGAGTTTGGAGTGAATTCAAGACCCAGTTTCATGACCTATTAAGTGTGTGGCTTTGGACAAGCCAACATCAACTGCAACTTTCTAAATCCATCCTCAGACACTATAGCGGATGGTTGGGGTGCGGGGAGAAGGGCAGGGACAGAGTTGGGATTGAATGAAAAAATACACACATATCGCCAGCCTGACACATCGCTCTCATTTGGGCTTACAAAAGTCACTCTGGGCCCAGGATGCAAAATAAAATGGAGATGAACACCCACAAACACTCCTCCTTGGAAGTACAAAGGAAACCAAACAAAGCTCAGGCAAGCCCTGAGGCAAGGTGCTTCAAAGTCCTCAGTGCCACACCACACCGTGGTGACCTTAAATGGCAGCAACAAGACCAGCTCCTGTGCCCACTGAACTCGCTACAGGTGCTCTGGATACAAAGATTCACCTGCACATCTACTTGGCATCCGCAAGAGAAAGAAAAATCCAGCCGAGACGTGCAGAGGGCCTATTAGGACCACGTCTCAGCGTGAGCGTGCACCACTCCCAGATGACCATGGGCCCACCTGTGACAAGACACCTTCCCACACGCCTCGACCTGCATTCCTAAAGTGCCGCTGCTCCCTGCTCTAGAGGGGGCTTCCATCAGACACCCTTGTGCAACTCCTACAGGATAGCGCAGCTTCCCATCCAGATCTCACTCACCAGGGTTAAGTCCTCTGTCATGACGAGAACGCAGCCCTTACGGCTCAATCTACGGCAACCTCTGGTGATGGCACAGCGGACCACGAGGGTACGTCTGGAATGTCTAGTACAGGAAACATCTGCATGGGTTTGAAAATCAGCTGGTCTTTGCATAGTATCTTATTTTTTTTTAAGATTTATTATTTTTTATTGCAAAGTCAGATATACAGAGAGGAGGAGAGACAGAGAGGAAGATCTTCCCTCCGATAATTCACTCCCCAAGTGACTGTAACAGCTGGTGCTGTGCTAATCCGAAGCCAGGAGCCAGGAACTTCCTCCAGGTCTCCCACGCAGGTGCAGGGTCCCAAGGCTTTGGGCCGTCCATCCTCGACTGCTTTCCCAGGCCACAAGCAGGGATGGGAAGTGGAGCTGCCGGGATTAGAAACGGCACCCATATGGGATCCTGGAATGTTCAAGGCGAGGACCTTAGCCACTAGGCCACCTTCTCAATTTCCCTCATACCATGGAGAAAGACACCCTTTTGCGCTGGCACTCTTCACTACAAATGCCACACACCGTGCAACCCAGAACACAAAGTTCACCAAGCGACAAGCACCTTCCTCTCTGGTGTGCTCTAATGTCCAGCACGCCCCCGTCCGCTTACCACACAGTCGCATGTTCCACACGGGGAATGGGTCTCTCGACGAGCAGCTCCAGTTGCCCCAGACACAAGATGCAAAGCAGAGAAACAAGGGACCAGCCTTTATCTGCACGCACTAAGTTGCTTTTATTAATCCAGAACGGCATGCTACAGATACTGTACAGCATGAACATTTATTCATTACAAAAATGGCTTCCAAACCATTAAAAATGAACTTGGAATAAGAGCATAAAACGGAACAGTAACATCACAACTGTTAGGAAACATTCAAAGTATTCACAAAAAATGTTATAGTTAGCATTTTTAATAAACCAGAGAAAATCGGAGACAGTTTTACAATCGCTTCATGTCAACTACAATGGCACGGAAGGAACAGGTCTCGGCTTTATACAGCATTTTGCAACATCAACATGCCTAGGTTTTTTTTTTTTTATTTTTAAAGTTCGCTACCTACTTGTATGTAATATGCGTACATAGAAGTGGCAGCTGATTTTTCCTTTAAGAGTAATCTAATATACAGCATTTTGGCCCTTAAGGGTTTACACCTCTTCATTTAAAATGCTTTCTGGACAATCTGCTACCAAACACATTTTTGTTATAGGTGACATTAAAACTACATACAAATCTACCTATGTAACGTCACAGCAAAAACATGATGAACGAAAATTACAGCATCAAAAAGAGGGAGAAAGCTAAAGTCACTGAGAATTTTGGCACATGAAGTTTTGCACACAGTCAGTCCACGTCCTAAGGGCCCAGGACATCTGACTGGCAGTTTGAGGGGGGACATGGGGCAGTTCCCACAGTTGCTCAGACAGCGTCGCTAAAATTCCCTCCGCTACATTTTTCAAGTCTTGTTTGACAGAATGGCTTGTGGAAAGCAACTCTCGTTAATGCTACTGATCCTTTAATGCAGCTATTGATGTCCACTGGCGGCATCGGGGTGTCATACAGCAAAACAGGAAACCAAAATCAAAACCAAAACAAAAACAAACCACACACAAACAAACCCCCAAACAAAAAACCAAAAGCTCCAAAAGAGAAACGAAAAAAATATATATACACATTTTATATATAAACTTAAAAACCTTGTACAAATGAAGTGTTATATATAAGATGCTTATGCTAAGGGGAGGGGGGACTTTATACAGTTTCAAGAAAAAGGAAAACATATTTAAAAAGGGACGACGTACAGGTACAACAAGCAATTTCTAAAGCAATAAATACTACTGGTCCGACAGCGTTGGTGACTCATTCACTGTTGAGTGGCCTCTCCCCACCCCCAAAAGAATGACACCTGGAGCAAGGTACATGAACACATTTTAGCCTTTTGTTTCTGTACATTTAAACAATAACAAGGAACATCACAATAAAAGTTGTTTCACATGGGGGGCGGGAAGGAAAAACAAAATAAGGTAATGGCACTGCAGTCGTGCGCTTGTGGTGTAAAAACCAGATGTAAAATGATTGGTTCGCAAGCTCATATTTACTACAAATAATACAGAACCAACTCCTTCTGGAGGGCTGCTTCAATCGCTTCCTCTTTTTTTTTTCCTTTTCATTTTTTTCAATCAGTCTTTTAAAACTAAGCTACCCAAACTACATAACAGTTATGTATATATATATTTATATATATATATTTTAAACGCTACAAAGACTTTCAACAGCTGTTGATAAAAATTTTGGTAGAATTATGAGGTTCTTCTCTCATCTACATATTTAAAAGGAGAAATTGAAATAAGAATGGGTCAAATATTGACCAATGAACTCGATAAACATCAACTCATGTAGCCACGTGGCACAAAATCAAAAGTACAAAACGAAACCTGTCGAGTAGGGGGGAGGGGAAGCAAAACCATTGGAAGCACGCGACAAAGAAGCTCAAAGTTACTCTAACGACTTGGTGACAAGGGAGAGAGGCTGGGGCTGGGTCCCGGCCAACGAGCTGTGGGAATGTAAGGAAGATGTTGACGGCTGTGCGAGCGATGACGAGGGGACAATGGGCGGCTGCAGGGCGGCAGGTGGCAGGTCCAGAGCCCCGTTGGGACAGAGGGCGGAGGCCTTGCCATGGGCGGCCTCGGCCAGCAGGAGCGCGGGCGGCGGAGGCATCATCGCCAGGTGGGCCAGGGGGTCAGGCTTCAGGGACAGCGAGAGCGGCTGAGTCTGTTCAGTCTGTGACTTGGCGTCTCGGGGAGGGGAGCCTAGCAGGTGCGGGGATGGGGGTGGCGAGTCTAGTAGGCTTCCATCTGAAGAGGGGGGGCTGAGGCAGCTGCCTTCACCTTGTATGTAGCGAACGCACTTTTTTTTTCTCCTAGAAACAGGGGGAGAGAGTTCTCTGTGAATACAGGGCAGAGATGCGAAGGCAGAGTTATCTACAACTCTAGGTCAAGTTCAAGTCCCTTACAGATGCCCCACATCGCGGCATGCCCAGTGGTCTGGAACAATTTAAAGTGGCGTTGCCCATCTGAGCAGCCTGTTCTGGCAAACAAAATATGAAAGAATTCAAACTCTCTAGCTGCTCCCCAGACATTCTCCTCTATGACCTCGTCCCCGGCCCCACCCCTGCCCAGGTGTTAAGTTGGCAGACGAAAGGGTGTCACCTGCAGACAGGTGCCACCAGTTTGCCAGAAAATGTCAAGTCCCAACAGAGATGAACTGAGAAGTTTCTTGGTTCCTCTTCTGGCCTAGACACATTCCCCCTCCTCCAATTCTCCCATCACGCTGCCTTTCCCCTCCCCACTCCATCCCAATGATTTGCGTGTGTTTCAAAGAGAAAGAGCTCCTTCCCCAGCCACCTCTTTATCAATAGGAAACTCTCAAAATTGCTGGCTGTGAAGCCCACACAGCTGAAGGCAGTGAGAGCGAGAGGCTTAAAGGTTTTAACCACCACCACCACCACCACCACCACCACCACCACCACCACCGTGAGCCTGCTGGCGCCCAGAGAGCTTGCGGGCTTGTCTGTTCAGAACCGCACCAAATCAAGAGATCAGAATCGGGGCGGGGGAGAAGGGAGGAGGAGGGGAAACGAAACTAAAACAAAAATGAACTCAAAAAACAGAAACCAAAAGAAAACCAAAAAAGAAAAGTAAAACCACCAAAAACAGGTAGAAGAGGATAAACAAAGGTGGGGGAGGGGGAAGAATAAGAAAAAAACAGAAAAATGATCCAAAGGAACGAGAATAACTGGTTGTATGGCCTGCAGGATGTGGATTAAATTCAGATCCAAACTCAAGTTTTGGTTTTGGCTTTTTTTGGGGGGGGGGATGGGGAGGAAGGATATTGGGGGCTTGCCCTCCCGTGCCCCACAGGTGAGAGGGTTTGGGAGGGGAGACACGGGAATGGGTTGATGGGGGCACCCTGCCCTTGTTACTATGCTGAGGCTGACTCTCAAAGGGAAGGGACAAAGAAGAAACGCCAGGGAATCTCTCAGGGGCCTCCCTGGTTTGGGGTTGCCGTGAGTGCTGCTGGAACCACCAAGACTCATTTTATTCCATATACGCAGAATCTGCCATCGTGCACCACCCATTTATGTAAGAAACATGAACGAGGGTTTCAGAGCCTCCCTTGCCGATCGGGAAAGGACAAAGTCAGGGAAAATCCACTCAAGCAATTGAGTGTGGGACCTCAGAGCCTCTCCTGCCATCACTCCCGGTCTGATGGGGTTGCCTTTGGTAGGAAAGGTGATCCTGAGATCAACCCCATTAATGCCATAAAAATCATGCAGATCCAGGGAAATTGCCCGTCAAAGGACCCTGAGGACACTGTCTGAGCCACGGCTGGCAGCGTGCCCGTCTGAGAACAGCTGAGTCAGAGCTGGCCAGCTTCCGACCCCTGGAGAAGACAGAGACACTGCCTCCGGGAAGGCTCCCTGCAGTCACCTGATGGCTGCACTTGGAAAGGAAGGGGGTGTGTAGAGTTCTCCTTCTCTCTCCTGTGACTGCCCTGGTGCCCGGGGCATGGACTGGGCAAGATGGCAGGAGGGGATAGCAGGGGAAGGAAGAGGGGGAAGGGAACATGCTTGGTCCTCTCTGCCTTCCAGAGGCTAAGACCTATTGGGGTGAAGGCCTCAAGGGGACCTGTGGCCCCCCGGTTCAGAAGGAACTCAAGGGAGCAGGGGGCAGCCTCTTCTTGCCCTCAAATGTGGCAGCAGTCCTTTCTGTGCTTGGGACAGATTAAAGAAGACCAAGCCTTCTGCTCCTACCCCAGAAACCAAGATAAATAATGATGGCTCTCAAGAGTTTTAAACCACCTTAGCCTGCAGATCAAAACATGCTCCAAAAACTAGGATATCCATGCATTGTAATGATGGGGCAGGGATGGGGGAGGGTGTATGCACAACCAAGAAAGCAATGGGTGAGAAGAGAGAGGACAGGAAAGGGAGAAAAGAGATGGGGGAGGGGAACACACGTGGGGAGACAAGGGGGAGACAACACCAAGCAGCACGTCTCATGCTATGTGAGCGCAGAGCAAAGAAAGGCGGGAAAATAGCTTGGTGGGCTCCGAACAGAATCTGGCTTCAATGTCCTGCAATGCAGCACCAATGGCACCCCGGGTGGTGAGCCAGGAGCCCCGACTGGCCAGGAGCATCTCCTGAGCTAGGGGGCATGTTGTACCAGGGACAGAGACTGAAGACAGAACCCAGCACCTCCCAGCCTATGGGTGACAGGCAGTTGGAACATATATTTCTGACAAGTCAGAAAATGCCTGGGCTTGCACCTTGCCTGCTTTCTTTATTTTTCAAAAGCACATTTTATCTTATTGATTTTAGCATGAAGCCAGTCGTGGCCGGGGCAAAGGTCGAGGGGGGAAGGGACAGGTAACTTCTGGTACAAAACTCTGCCTCGTGTCACCACCTTGTCACTGGACTCCTCCTGGGCAGGGGAGCAATTAGTCAGAATTGCATTCTTAGCTGCCACAGGTTTCTTCTGAACTCCCTTGTCCATTTTGGACCTGTGCCTTTAAAGGCCAGTGGAAATGCATATTCCAGCACCTTGACAATATGAAAACCTATGGGGGAGAACATGATCAATGGAACACTCTTAGGGTGCTGTGGCTGGAAAGCAAATTGGGGAGCCCCTGTGGATTCTTATGGCATTGATAAGGCTGCCGGAAGTCAGCTCCCTCCACCAAGCTGCATGGAGGTAACTATTTCCCCAAACACAAAGAGGCTATAAAGGCGTGGGCTTGGCAACCTTCCCCCCAAGCTCCCCTCCTTAAATATCAAGAAGATTCTGGTTCTAGAGCAAGACTCCATCACACCCGTGGGACACTTTTTCCGGTCAATGTCAGCAATAACTTCCAGAAAAGAGGGTGGGGTGGGAAGGAAGCCACGTGACTTGCAGCATTTACTCCCAGAACAAACTGGAGTCATGGAGCAGTTCTCACTAGCACGAGCAGAACCAACCCACCAGGGTGCCTCAGCCAGCCTCTCAGGGAACTGGTGGGCACCTGGACAGGGGAAAAGTCCTCTCCTGCGAGTGGTCCCTGTGGTGAGCTACCCAACTGCGGGAGTCAGGACCGGGCGCCACAGCGCACATAGAAAATGCCAACAAAGCCACTGCCTGCAGAAACAGAGCAGTCTGGCTCATACAAAGGAACCCCCTGAATGGCCTTCATCAACTTGGTCACAAAATTCCCTTCCACTATCCAGAGAAGGCTCTCGGTGGAGGAGGGCAGGGGATGACTGCACTTGAAGACATCTGTCACACATCCTTGGGAACTCTGCCATCTCACACAGGGACCAGGACGTTCCTTCCTGCTCTTCGCGTCCACCGAAGACCTTGGGTCCCTCACTCCACAGGCAGGGGGCCCGCCTGTAGTGGTCCCGCTCCGAAAGGACCCTAGAGCCCTGTCTGTCCTAAGGCTCTGGCGTGGTGAAGGCAGGGCATGTCACCAATCCCTCGAGCTAGCATCTGAGAGGGAGGGCGGAGACACAGGAGACTCGGGGGCATGCACATGATGGGATGAACATCTGATCTAACGTCTAGACACGGAGCACATGGCAAAGGCATGGAGGAGAGGGACACGTGACAAGGGAAGCATTACAAACAGGGAAGCGTGTCTGGGGGAGTTGAGATACCTACCATCATAATATTCCAAATTCAAAGACTGCTTGTATCAGAACAAAGAAACAACAAAATTTAACCAAAGGTGGTCATTAAAGGAGAGGAAATGGAATGGGATTACTAAGGGGATTCCCTCCACCAGGAAGGCAGTATTGACACCTTCCCAGAGTGGAAGGAAACCTATGGTGGAACATAGCTGCTTATATGGGACGCTTCTGAGTGTTCTGATTGGATGTGGAACCCATGCTCCACATACACACAAACGCACGCACACACATACACAGATGCATGTGTGCGTGTGTATGTGAGTATATATGTGTGTGGGTTTCTAGTGCTGCAGGCCTAGCAATATGCAATGGGTGACTGCTTGCAGCCCTTCAAAGCTGGTGCATGCCATTCAATGCCACGCTTCTTTTTCAGCACTGTAAAACAAGGTTGGCTAACCAAGCTCCTCTGAATAGAGACGTGTGTGGTTTTTAAACATGATGCAAATCTAAAGAGGAGGAGGAGGAGGGAAGAAAAAAAATAAATAAATAAAGCCTGCCCCAGAGCACTTCTCCGAGTGACATGAGTCCATGTGCAGGGGAATGCTGTCGCTGCCAACCTTGCACTTGCTCACTCAGCCCCTGGGCAAGGGTGGTCCTCTACGCTCAGGCTGTGGGCCACCGAGCTGCTCACGGGACAGGGGCCAGCGCCTGTCCTCTATCTAAGGCCATAATCTCAGTCCCACCACCAGGGGTACATTATTCCAAAGATTGGGGGGAGCTGGGGGTGTAACTGCAGGGGAGAGAGAGAAGCGAAAGCTGGGGCCAGAGGGAAGGACATGGCATAAAATCAGCGAGGGAATCTTTAAGAGTTAGGATCATTAGTCATTGATGCCAGTGAGGGAAGCAGACGGGAGCAAGGTCAAATCGAATGGTCACACGCTAAGGCAACGGAAGGACAGAAGGCTGATTTTCCCAGAGGCCTCGCAGTGGAAGTATACCTGCACGGCTTGCACCATAAAGTCTGTCTGTCAAGCCCGAACAGTGCCCGACACTTCTTTGGAGTATTTGCATCTGTTAGCATAAGGTAAACACAAAAAAATACAACACAATGGTGGGTTGTGCGAGCTCAGTTGGACGTGAACTCTCAGCTACGGCTGACTTCTCTTCTACATCTCCTCGGCACTACACGGTAACCATCCCCTCACCGAGCACGTGAAAGGGGAGGGCTGCTAGGAGTCAAACGCAAAACAAAACAGAACAAAATAAAACGAGAAAACACGCACACAAGAAAACAACAATCAGAAACCAAACATCAACAATGAAAACCAAAACAACAAAACCAAAAAAAAAAAAAGAGCCAAAATAATCATAATCATAACCATAATAACCTAAAAAACAAAAAAACAAACCAAACCAAAAACCAGAAAGAGTAGAGAAGGGAAGAAGGTGACGTCAGTTGCTTCTACCTAGGCCAGGAGGACCGTCCCGGGCTGTCCCAGGAAGGGGTGGGGGGTTGGCAGGCAACATTCCCCGGGAGAGGGCGCTGGCGGGGGCTCGCTGGCACTGCCCCGGGAGGCACGGACGATGCTGTTTTACAGTGGCATTTTGGCAGCAGCAGTGGGAGCAGAAGCACGTCCCTTACAGAGCCCGTCTGCTCGGCAGTGTCCCATTCCCTCGTGTCCCCTAAGATCCACACACAGAGCTACAAAGCAACAGGCCAGAGAGGGGGAAGGGATGGCAGAGACCAGCTGCAAACCAGCACAGCGCATCTGGGAGCTATACACACCTGCAAGGGCCGCACCAGTTATTCTGTTGATCAAGGCCAAAGCGCGCTCGGCATTTCTTAGGAGCGCTCAGGTCTGAATGAGTTCAAGAGAGAAGCGAGCAGAGGTGGGAGAGAGGGAGAGGGAGAGAGAGAGAGAGAAAGGAGAGGAGGAGAGAGGGAGGGAGGGGGGGAGAGAAAGATACAAATAAGAAAAAATAAAAAAATAAAAAAGGGAATAAATCAATGACCTGGTTACTAATTTGCAAAATATTGACGTTCTTTTTTTAAAACTTTCTTTAATTAAAAAAAAAAGGTAAAAATCACATTCTTATTAAACTTGTGAAATTAGCTGTTGCAAATAAAGCTGCAGTATCCCTTCTTTAAGGACTGTCTCTAGATTCAATTTGAGTTGACAAAAGGAAGTTAAAATCCTGAAGAACTTGTCATTAATTTTTATCATTTAATTTTGCTTTCCCCCTTTTTTTTTTCTCTCTCTCTCAATTTGTTTTTTCGTATAGAAGAAAATAAAGCGGAGGGAATTAAGTTTGTAACATGCTCTTTTCTTCTCAGATTACAATAGTTTTTAAAAAAGGAAAAAAAAAAAAAAACCAAACCACAAATAAAAACAGAACAAAATGAAACAGAAAGAAATAAAGAAAGAAAAGGGTTGTGGTACTGGGATATTGCAGCTTTTGGACTGTTCACCTTTTCTGTATTATCCCTTTTCATTAATATTAAGAGAGGAACAGATGAGGATAGCACGGCTGTGTGGATGAGCTGTTAGTGGGGAGTTCACAGCAGCAGATACGCAGGCACAGTCAGTACAATGCTAGTGGATTTGCAAATTATGAGCAGAAAAGCAAAAGGAAGGGAAAAAAAAACTAAAATAACAAAAAGCAAAGGAAAAAATAATCATACTGCGGATGCATGCTAGCGTGAGAAAACTTAGTGGGAGCGATGAAAAAATGCCATTAGATTAAGGAGGTTTATTACTGAATTCCTTCCATTGGCGTGGATTTTTTTTTTTTTACCAGTCTCTTTTAAAGAAATACTGCATATTCAATTTGCACAGTTAGTTCAACTCTAAATCACTGTCATCACTGCTTAAACAACTTTTATGGGAAAAATAAATAAATAAACGAAACGAAAGTTACAACTTAAAAAAAAAAAAAGCAACCAAAGCAACTGAAAAAAAAATTCTACTGAAACATACAAAACCGTGTAGATGGTCATTTTAAAGAATGTTTAAATGTCATACGTGTTTAATGTTAATAAAACTATCATGGCAAGAAAAACTAAAAAACAGTTTATCAACTATTTTAATGACTCAAAATGACATTAGCACCTGTAATCGGAGGAAGTGAAAGGCAAGGATTTAGGAAACATTCGCTGTGTTCTGAAAAAAAAGAACAAATTATACAAAGCCTTCAAAATGGTTGTTTGATTGTCAAAGCCTGGTCTGAGATTGCCTATGCAGTATTTCTAATTTCCTCTACAGAATGACAAACCTCCTTAATTTAAATATGGGGTGCAATTTACCACTGTAAAGGCATGCATCAGAACATTCAGGAACAGCCCGTTAATACCAAACGCTCACACGTACCCCCTCCTGCACCCCTGAGCCCCCTTCGCACCCCTTCTCAGACACATTCAAAACAAGCAGACGGAATCAACCCAGCCTAGGCATGCCTACCGCTGGCTCTCCAGTTACAGGCTTTGCAGAAGTTATTTAAAAACACATTCCACTAGAATTACAATGTGCTTTTCATGCAACAATGAATGTTACTAGCTTTAAAAGGGCAGTCATGAAGCAATTAATTAAAATGCATAAACAAACAAACAAAAAAGGCTGGCTAAGATGGGCTCCCACACAATGTCCTGGCCTTGAATGTCTCCTGCCTGCCCCAGATGGGTGCCTAAGGTCAGGGAGCGGTCCTCAGCCCACTGTGCCTTCCTCCATCCTGAGTCACTTACCATTCGTCTCTCCCGGCTGTTTGTCCCTTTTCCTCTTCTTCTTCTTCCCCTACGTGAACAGATAAAATAGGCAATTATTTCAAGAAAGGCAGCAGGGCGGGAGTCCATCCACATCCACCCTCACAGTCTGTCTGACCTCTAACCCTTCAATGCACATGCGCTTGAGCTGGGCTCTAACTGGACATGAACAGGTACCTTCATGGCGTGAAGCCAATGAACAAGGAAAGGCTCATCTACTCACAGATCTCCCGCTATTTTCAAACCTGACCAGGGCATCCACTTACACAAATGGGAAGGAAGGGGGAGAGCTGGAAAGAACCAGGCGGGGAGGAGTGGAGACAGCGTTGGCAGCAGCCTGGGGGCCTGCCCCGGAAAACAGGTGCACACAGCCATGGGCCCCCGGCAGGGAGAGCCACTCAGCCTGTGCCACTCGACTAGCCATCTGTCCCTCTTCCACAGGAAGAGAACAAAAGCTTTGGGTGGGTTTCTCACAGAGCTCTAGTGCAGGCCCGGCTTTTAAAAGGCAAAGACAGTAGAGTTGAGCTAGGAATCATCTGGGTTCCTGGCACATCTGCTGGGTAGGGATGGCCCCTCCACTCTCATCTTACACAGATGCTACTATGCGGACAGTGGGCTACCTCATCATAAAACCACCAAGGGCTCACTGACAAAATGTCACTGAGATGCACCTGCCAAACCTCACAGCCAACCTACTTGCAACACGCTTGGCACACCTAACCAACCTGCAACTGTGCCATCAAGCACACAGACCATTTTATAATAGTGTTGATTGGGTCAGGTTGTATTTGGGGTATTTTATGGAGAGTGATGGAACATTTGCATGGTTCTGTTAACCACTGTGAAGTTAGAAAACTCAGAGGCTTGACCATCCAAAGCTGGAGGAGGGAGGCATCTGTGTTAGGAGCAATGGTGATTTGTGGAGCATGTCCACGCAACAAGGCTCACCTGTGAGTGTGCTACACAGACTGGCTCTTTTCCTCCACCCTGCAATCTAGTCAACTATGACTATTCCCATTTTACAGACTGTTCAACTGGCCCAGGAAGCTAGGTAACTTTCCTGATCCTGCACAGAACTCAAGCACAGAATGCTTGCTCCTCTGACTAAATTGTGTCCCCCACCCCCCCTCGCTTGAAAAGCAGAGATGCACACAGGAGATCTTCCATCTCCCTATTCATTCCCCAGATGCTGACAACAGCTGGGGCTGGGCCAGACAGGAGTCACAAACCTGGAATCAACCTGTGTCTCCTATGGGAGTGGCTGGGACCCAAGTACTCGAGCTACCAACAGCTGCTCCCCAAGGTGCACCTTAGCAGGAAGCTGGGACCAGAAGCTAGGTCAGGATTCCAGACCAGGTGCCTCATTAGAGGATGCACAGGTCCCTAAAGCTGTCATTTTTTTAAATTAAAAATTTATTGGCCTTGATATGGTTCTGTAGGTACAGGCCTTCGCTTGAAGAGTCTTACAGCAAGCCAAGATCAGCACCAAACACAAAAGGTTCCTAGTAGCTACAACACTTGAGAATGGGCTGGCTCCATAGGAACCCTCAGCAGGAGGATGTCACAGAGCCCTTGCTCCATCCGGGGCCTAGGACACCTGAAAAGTAACTTTGTCCACATGCTCCTGTTTGGATATGCTCCTTGGTAGGTCATTTCTTTGGTTTAAATGCATTTTTAAAAAATTTATTTCAAAGGCAGAGCTACAGGAAGAAGGTGCAGATAGAGTGTGTGTACACAAAAGGGGGGGGGAAGTGGCAGGAGGGAGGGAGGAGGTAAGAGAGAGAAAGAAAGAGAGGGAGAGAGAGAGAGAGAGAGAGAGAGAGCGCGACAAATCTTCCATCTGCCATCTCACTCTCCTAATGGCCACAAGAGCTGGGGCTGTGCCAGGCCAAAGCCAGGAGCTTAGGGCTTCTTCAGGGTCTCACATGTGGGTGCAGGGGCCCAAGCACTTGGGTCATCTTCTGCTACTTTCCTAGGTCATTCATGAGCAGAGATACAACCTGCTACACTCCAACACCAGCCTCTTGAAGGAGCTTTCAGTGCCTTGTCATCAGGCCTGAGTCTCACGAGCCTGCAGCACCTTGTTTTCATGTGTGTGGCTCCTCCATGTCAGGAGCCAAGTGCTGCCTGGCTGGCTCGGGGCAGGCATGAGGGCCTTCTAGTCTCAGGTGATTCAGACAGCTCAAGTGGAAGCTCAACTGGGCAGAACGCGCCCAGGACCCAGGGCTGTCGGCAGCTACACACACCAAAAGGGCACACACTGCTTGCCCTTTTCTAGTCCTTGCAATCTATTTGGAAGGCACCCAGAGGCTCCCTTGTCCATGGGAAGCCACAGGTGGCTGAACAAAGTACTATTTAGACACAAAGCTCTTGGAGAACAGAGACAAGTGGTAGCAGAAAAAAGAGAGGAAGAATAGTTCCCACAAGTTAGTGAAGATGGGGGTGAGTCTTAAGGGAGGTAGACACCCCACTGCCTGTCCACCAGAAACTAAAGAAAGAAGAGACCTTGGAGTAGGTATTTTAGATTGGTGGGTTATAAAACCCGTATTGGTGTCCCGTATTGGTGCGCCTGGAACTGAGCTCTAACTCCAGTTCCCAGCTTCAGCTTCCTGCTAATGCAGACCTGGGAGGCCAATTACGGCTCAAATAATTCATTTTTGCCACTCACATGGCAGACCTGCGTGTGCAGCCGCTGGCTCTAGCCCAACTCCAGCCATGACAGCATCTGGTGAGCGAACCAGGGGATGGGAGCTCTGGCTGCCTCTGTTGCTCAAGACCCAAATGGGACTGTTTTTACTTAAATTCTGCTTTTGTTCCCACTTGGCTAGAAGAGCAGGATGTGAAAAAGGCCAGGAGTCAACTCAGGAGGAATTTTCCAAAAACCCTATCTGGACTTAACAACAACCAGTTATTATCTGAACTCCTGTGTTGAGTTGCATAACAAGAAATACTAACAGGTTTCCACCACAGTCAAATCCACAAAAGCCTCAATTCTCTGATTCTTGCCCTCCTCCTCCCACCCCCGACTGCTTTCTGGGACACAGAAGGAAGGAGGGAGGGAGCGTGTGTTCATACGCAGGTGCAGCAGGTTCTTCTGAAAGGAACATTCTAAGACCAGATAAACTTCCACCACATCTATATGCTCAAGTCCCAAGAGTCCCTTTACAACGCCACCAAGTTACCTTTGGGACAGAAAACGGAGCCAAAGACACTGCGGGTGCCCTGCAGACCTTGATTTTATAGGATGCCTCTGGTGACACTCTGTCTAAATGGCTTTTAGGCAGGGCCAAAACGGCTTTCTTTTATGGCTCCCACAAAGCCAGGCCTGTGTGTTCGTGGCGCTCTCACCCCGCACAACTCCAGGGGGCACCATTCATAGAGTGCAGAACAAATGGTGTGCATCCTCTGCAGCTGTGCCATGTGTGCCCTGCACGGCTGTCCGTGAAGGCCCCTTGACCGACCTCCTCTGGGCTTGCACTGAGGCAAGAGGGGAGGGGCAGGCTCCCTTCACAAAATCCAGTGCCATCTTGTTAAAAATTTGGGCAAAGCAAGAGGTGTGCCATCCCTCTCAAGGACTTGAGTTCATGGGCTAAGGCAGGACAAGAAGAAAACAGCAGGTTTGTGGCAGGAGAAATGTGGGAGTCAGAACACGGGCAATCCTACTGTCTTCAGATACCTAGGAGAGGAACTTGGGCAAAGCCTGCAGCCAGCACAGAGCTCACCAACACAAACCATTCTCTACCCCTATAGGGCCCACACCTGTTTCCTCCATCTTTCCAAAGGACAACTTCCTGTGGCTGTTTCCAGGAGTATTTTCATCACACCCCTCTCTGGATGAACTGGGCTGCCAACTTCTGTGTCATATAGCATAAGGCAACACCTTTGTTTTTCTTCTTTTGAAAGGCGCAGGCCCTGCCAGAACTCTCATGAAGAAGGAAACTCCTTCCTTCCAGCTGTAACCCCTAGCCTTCCTGCTGAGGCCACTCCACACTGCCAACAAGCTTGGAGAACCTCATCTGGAATTCAAGTTTGTCCAGGTCAATATTATAGCCCCATCTCTTCTAAAATGTGGGCAAGCAGGTATGGACAACACCAAATTCATGCCATAGGTCCCAAGCTGGAACACTGGACACCAGCCTCCTCTCTCTTCCTTGAATAACTGACATGTGCTGACAGCACCAACTGGAAGCCAAGGTGAGATGCTGCAGTTGGGGTACGGGCAGGCTGTGAACAGGCTCAGAGGCAGGCAGGACTGAAGGGTGCAGAGGCCTGGTTCAGGTGGGCAGTGACCCTGCTCTCTGTCCACACAGACACACACAACATCTCTGGGACAAAAGTTCTACAGAGAATGATCCACCTACATAGTTATCCCGTGCGGACCAGCCTGGGTAGAGCTGCATGTGAAGCTGTCGCTCCTTCCGGGCCAGCTCGTAGTATTTCGCTTGTTCTTCTCTGGACAGAGCGTGCCACTGCAGGGGACAGTGGGGTGTGGGGAGAGAAAGATGCACAACAACATCACAACCTACACCACAGTGGTGAGGACCACAAATGACGCTTCCCCTCAGCCTGGGTCCCTCTGGGAGGGGGCAGTCTGCACTTCCCGTGAGCTGGCAGGGTGGGTCCTGGTCATCCATGTGGCTTTGCCCCCTATGGTCTGTGCCGTGGGGGGAGGAGAGGACGCAGCCTGAATCGGGGATGACCAGTCGAGAACTCCAAGGAAATGGGGACAGAAACATCTTTGCCCTGGGGGCCCACAGCCTCCTGGGCTGTCCTTGGGCTTCCCTTCCATGGAAGGGGTCACCTACCCTCCGCCCCAGGATCTGGTTGATGGCCGCGCTTTCTTTCAATGTGCACTCGGCAACGACCTTGGCTCTCATCTCCTTCATGTACAACATGAATGCGTTAAGAGGCTTCTTTATGTGGGGCTTCTTCTTCTCTTCTTCCTTTTTGGAGTCCTGATGCTTTCTGCAGAAGAAGCCCAACAGACAGACAGCCCTGTCAACCACCCCTAAGCCTCACTCCCACTCTTCTCCCCTTTCCCCTGCCCCCCTCCCCACCCCCAAAATAGAAGAAAACTAGCATGGGTGTGTGTGTGTGTGTGTGTAAGTGAGTGACAGGGTGAGGGTGAGGGTGGAGGCACAAAGCTTTGCGATCATGTCCTCAAGTGTCAGAAGCGACGAGGTATCCCAAGGCAGAGGGGAGGGTGTACTGGTGCTGGCTCCACCTCAGCACTCACAGGAGGCAGTCAGCAATGTTGTGACTTCTAGCTGAGCAATTGCAAATTCAGATACAAACAGACTTCTAGTCTAAGCCACAGTTGTAACAGCCAGCAAGACCCACCATCAAGTCCTTCATAGTCTTGATCCGGGAGCCCGTGGGTCTCGTGCGAACAATGATTGCTGATGTCAGACCATGCGAGGCCAGCCCCAGGCACAGCACCAGCAGCCCATGGCCTGAAGTTCCCGATCCGCAGCTGGCTGCCCACCACACCTCCCAGGAAAGCAGGCCCAAGGGTGGCACTTACGAGCTGTGGAGTGAGCCGACGTCACTCTGGGAGGATTCCTGTTTGACTGTTGGTGTGACTATGGCTGGGTGGGGAATGCCAGTGGTGTGTAGAGTGTGATGTGGTGGGACCATGTGGGGAGGGAACCTGGAAGACAGAAAGCTGTGTAAATCGTCAGAATCAAAATGAATGAATGAGGAGGGATGAGTACACACAATTCAAAAAAAAAAAACCCAGCACGTGGCACTCACATGAAAGTAACCCAAGGCATATGAAACCTGTCGGCATTAATTAGCGACAAATTAAACATAATGATTCTTATAATGCCATTAAAGCCAATGTTCTCCTTCATTATTGCTACTGACATGAGACATTACAATTTTTAACATCTTTAGCAAGAGACAAATTCAACTGATGTACTTGGGCGGAAAGGCGGGCTTGGACTACCTGCTGGAGCCCCACGTCCACGAGTGTTGGGAAGATGATTACAGACAGTTTCCCATGTCCCAGTCAGCTCCGAGGTGGAAGGGAAAATCCTGTGCTCCCACTGACAGTTACATGAAACATTAACGTGGCTGAACCAGGCACATGTACCCTGACAGTGCTGTGTGTGGTTCCTCAGGGTGATGGCATGCCATGGAAGCTGTTATTTTCCTCCTGTTGCTGAGCCCATTGTTGGACAGGAATGGGAGATGGTGAGACAGAACCATGGGGGGGAAATGCAAGTATTTTCCCATTTGGTTCCCATCCTGAGTCCAGTTTTTTTTTTAGGTCAGTTTGTTTCACTATGGGGAACGACCTGAAAACCACACTCAACCAAGCTTTAAATCCTGCCTATATATCCTTTCTCCCAAGTCACATTTATTTAATATACATCATTAAAAAGACTTCTCTATGAGAAGCAAGGTGGTAAAAGGAAGAAATGATACTGGCACTGTTCTTCAGGCCCTGAACTCGCATTTCCAAACCATGCAAATTAGCCGGGATACAAACAGCTAATTTCACACAATTTTTGGCCCATCTGGAACACAAAGACAACTGGAAGGAACAAATGTCTTTCAGAATTTGGGAAAGTCTTGGGAGTCACCTGACTTGCACTGGGTTTGCAGAATCATCACTCTTACAGGCATGTGTACCACCCAAGGGAGGGTGCACACCAAAAGGGCTGAATCGCACAAGAGACCACAATGCTGCCTCCTCTCCCAGCCTGGCCCAGTCACTGGGGTCAGCATCAGGGGAACCTGCAGCCTCACAGCTGCTACTTTTCTTTCTTTTTCTTTTGTTAAGATTTTTCTTCTTTGTTTTGAAAGAGTGATAGAACAAGAGATCTTCCATCTGCTGCTTCACTCCTCAGATGATTGCAATGGTCAGGAATGAACCATGTGGATAGCAGAGCCCTGAGTCCTTGAGCCATCTTCTACTGCTTTTCCAGACACATTAGCAGGCAGTGCTACCATGGGATGCTGGCCAGGACCGCTATGCCAAAACATTGGCTTCAACTATTTTTGGCAGGAGGGAGAGGGGGTGGTTAAAGATTTCTTTATGTTGAAAGTTAAAGTTACAGGCCCGGCGCGGTAGCGCAGTGGTTGAGGTCCTCGCCTTGCATGCCCGGGATCCCATATGGGCACTGGTTCTAATCCCGGCAGCCCCGCTTCCCATCCAGCTCCCTGCCTGTGGCCCGGGAAAGCAGTCGAGGACGGCCCAAAGCTTTGGGAACCTGCACCCACGTGGGAGACCCGGAAGAGGCTCCTGGCTTCGGATCGGCATAGCATCGACCGTTGTGCTCACTTGGGGAGTGAATCATCGACGGAAGATTTCTCTCTGTCTCTCCTCTCTGTATATCCACCTTTCCAATAAAAAAATAATAAAAATAAATCTTTAAAAAAAAAAAAAAGAAAGTTAAAGTTACAGAGAGAGAAGGAAAAACAGAGAGTAAGAGCATTGTCTTAATCTAAACCAAAAATGGTCCAACACAGCATCCATCTAAGAAATGGCAACCTCATTTGCCCTTTTGATGGTTTCTTCTGGTGGGAACTCGGGGTTCTAATGAGGTTTTATCAAGGCAATAATTTCAAACAGAATCCCATTTTCATTACAATTTAAAGTTAGTGTGAGTTGTACATTATGACGAGGTAGAGTATGATCATTTGCTACATGAGCACAATGTGCAAGGAACATCGGGACGGTGAACATTTCCATCGCTGTAATCCCTGTGCTGGGAACACTGTGCTCTTCCGGTTTCTTGCACAATTGGCTAAGGAACATGCTATGGTCACTCTCCCTGACACAGTAGCACTTCCTCCTCTCCTCAAACCAGATGTCCGTGTCCCAAACAAGTCCTCTATGCCCTCCCTGCACCTTTCCCAGCCCCGCTCAACTCTGTGCACTTACGGGGGCCTCAGGAGGCACCTACGTCCACAAGTTTCTTTCCAGATGTGGACTGAAGGTAGTTTTCCATTGAGCCAATGACACAAACACTCAGTTCACAACATTAAATTGAAGCACCAACTGAGTTTACCCAGACCAATAGAGCAAAAACAGGAGCAAGGAGCACTATCCATTTCCAAGTGCGGCCCAGAGCCACAGGCTGCCCCTGCCTAGTGCCTTCACAACTCCAACTTTGACGACAGTGACTGGATTCTTTAATAAGAACCGTGCAAGATGCTCAGAAAGGAGGAGAAAGGGCGAGAGAGAGACAGGTGGGGAAAAAACCTAAAAGCCAACCTTTTTTCCTCGAAGAAATGAAATCTGGAAAAGCAAGAGCTTCAGAGGCACCTGGGCTGCCACGTGATGCCCTGCCCCTTCTCACAGCTCAGAGGCCTCAGAGAAAACCCAGGCCAAGGGCATGTGCTCCTGGGAGGCCTTGGCTGAGGGGCTGGGTGGAGTGGCAGCTCTCATGCGGTTTAATGGCTTGACATTCCTCAAATACAGGTACTCCATGTTGCAGAGTGAGAGGATGGATACAGGTGGGAGAAGGAGATGGAGGGAGTGATGCAAGTGTGTGTGTGTGCCCATGTGAACATCTGTACATGCCAAATGCCACAGGCAGACAGCACAAGGGCAACACGCTCTGAGCGGGGGACAATCTTCCGGCAGAGCCACACAGATGCAAGACTTCCCGCTCCCCGGCCTGTGCTGGGGGGAGGGGGTGGGCAAGGATGTGTGGCAGAGGAAGAAGAGAATGTGCTAAGTGCACCTCTGCCTCAGAAATCCCTCTCTGCAGACAACTACTTCGCGAAATGCAATAAACACCCTAAAAATTCTAAGCAGCTCATTAGGTACCCCCGTCTGCTTTTATGGCTCCGAGCCAGAATATAATGATGAACCTTAACTTGTTAAGGACAACTAATTTTTGTTTCTGGCTGTCTCAGGGGCTTCTCTGGTGCTCACTCGCCCTCTCCTTCACTGTTGACACATTTCTGTTAACTGCATGTCATCTGCCGGCCTTGATTTTATGCACAAGCAGTAGGATGCATTTTCCTGTGCAACAATCCGGCTTTGAGTTGCATTAGGTTTGTCATTATTCTCTCATTTCCCCCCTTGCACTTGTAACATTTCATCTCTCCCTGCCTTATTTTTTGTGAGCCACGGTGCACCCACATTATGGTTTATACATGATCTCGCTCCCTTTGAAGCCGGCAGATTTCAGAGCCCGCTCTCGTCGGGAGAAGAGCCTTGCACCAATTTAGCAGGCTGAGGGCCCGGAGCTCCGACATCTCAATCTAAAGGGGGTCACAGGGTGGCACAAGTGAGTGTCAGCGAGAGCTGTTTAATTGCCAATCTAGGCTTCTCCATGGTGTTTAAAGTATAATGACCCATCACTTAATTCTGAGAAGTCCTGGCCCTGCTGCTGAATAGAATGAATATCAAAGGGTGTTCTGGAACAGGGCAAGCTGCCTACATTTGCTGTAACTGCCATAAGTATAATAGACCCATACTTCTGTCGTGCCATTACCACAATAATGTATTTAATTTGCTGTATACGCTTTTTAACTAGCTACCTTTCATAAGGCCTACCTGGGGAATCGGCCGCCTGGCCCCTCCCCCCGCCACACACCTCAATCCCCTAACCTTTCTTCTTCCCATGCCTGCCTTTCTTTCCGTCACCTCCTGCCCACCTAGGAACCACCTGCTCACCTCCTAATGATAATTCAATCGATAAGCTTAACCCCCCCAATCCCTATCCTGCGATTACTTCACCACTTTTAACCTCTGGAACGCACCGAATAAACAAACCTGACAAATAATCAGGTGCAACCCAGCGATGCCGGGGTGAAGGGGAGGATGGGAGGAGTGCGCCGTGGACTACCAGCTGCTCCGAGTGGAGCCGGCCCTCCTCCCAGGAGACCCCTCCTCCTTTCCCAGGCTCGGCGAGGCTGTGCTGATATTACATAATGGGCAGAAACCAGGGAACGTAGCATTTTCCCGCCTCACTTGTACTGGCGTGGATTATGGATGCGGACAATGTGCCACGTGTAGGACATGGATCTTTCTAATTACACGATACCCATGGCATGATCACCAACGCCAGACAGGCCACATTTCCTTTTCTCTTAAAAGAAGCAATTCCTATTCTTTCTCCCACCAGAAGCCACTGCTTTGTAAACAGGAGAAGAGGCATCTTGGCCCATCTTTCCAACCTGCTCTCTGGTTTTGGCTTTCCACGTTGCCCACAAAGATTGGGGGGTAGCATCCCTGCCTTGTAATGCATGCTAATTTAATTATGGGCCATCATCAAAATGGATTGGCTGTTTCAGCCCATCAGGAAAGTCTAAACCTCCACCGATTTAATTAACTTGACTGAAAATCAGATGAACAGAAAATAAAACTATCATTAGGAGCAATTAGTGACTACTTAAACATACTGCTGCCAACCAGTTTGCAAATAAACTAGCAGTCGCTGAAAAATTAGCCAGAATTAATTAGGGGGAGGAAACGAGAACACGGGGATGTGTGTGCAGGCCACACATGTACTCATACTGACGGCTTTCAATACAAGCACACATGAATGCAGACGTACACATGACCTTTCGTTTAAATGTTCAAAGATGCAGAGCCACACAGGCCAACACAATAGCCACCAGCCTCACGTGACTAGTCTGAATTGAGATGTGCTGGGTCAGATTAGGAAAAGTACAAAAAAAAAAAAAAAAAAAAAAAAAAAAAAAAAAAAGAACGTGAATATTTGGTAAAAGTTGGATGATGATGATGATGTCGAAGCAGTATTTTGGTTTACAGTTCTGGCTTGAGTATAAGAATATGCCACTATGAATAATTTCACTATTAAACTGGAAAAAAATGGCCACTATAAAATTTAAACTTTCCCATGTGGCTCCCATCATGCATGTCTCTACTGAAAGGTGGTGGGGGAGGGGTGGGTATGGCGAGGGGGGTGGGGTGGGATTGGCAAGCAGAGAATGCCCTTTGTTTTGACTTTGAGTCAGAAATTAAGCTTGAAAAGGTCAATCATCTATGCTAATACTCCTCTTTGTGTAATAATAAAACCATCTCCACAACAGAGAAATGAAAGCACCCCACACCTCGACAGCTTCTTCCTGCCACCTTAATTTCTTAAAATATGCTGTTCTATCGATGGACTCAAAACACCTCGACCCAGAAAGACATCGCTTACCTTGAGAGTTCAGGGCAATGTGTGAGTCTTTTCCAGAAATAAAGCTTAGCATCCCATGGGCTCTAGTGCCCCTCTTAGAACTAAACATGGCCTTAGCCCCCAGGTGGCCCCACAGCCACCAGAACACTAGAGAAGTTACTAGTGGTCCCAGGCCTTGGAACTCACCTGGACATGGAAGCATTGACGGTCAGAGCTGTGGGGTAGGGGTGTCTGAACCCTCCTGTCGTGATGGGGTACACGGGTTGACCTTGCCTACAAAGAAAGGGGTACAAAGTCAGAGACAGGCTATGAGGTCTGGAGGAGTGGGGGGGACAAGAAAAAAGAAGAAAAGGGAAAAGTTCTCTCTGCATAGTAAGCTTTATTCTCATTTGATCAGAACAAAAATCTTGGGGATTGTACAGGAAGGATCAAAGGGAAGAAACACAGAACAATTTGAATGCCATAAATCTGATAGGAATGGCTAATTAAATTTTATAACCTCTGCTTATGTCAATAGAGACCCTCTCCCCAAGCTGAAACTAGGTGTTTTGTTGTAATAATTAAAGGCGAAGTCTCGCTTGCTTTAATGGAGCCATCACACTAATTGAGGGCTACACATCCAAAGGAAAACAATAATGAATGTAAATTTATACCAAAATAAAGTACAGTGAATCAAAGGACTTCAGTTGCGCTTTGGGCCTCTTTCGGTATTTAGATCTCGGTGAGAAAACATTAAATTAACAGAGCTTAATTTGTAGCCTTTTGTCAAATTAACAAGTGTTGACAAGAGTTACCGGGGGGAGCGTCCCCAAGAAGAATTGTGGGTAACCAATAGACAATCACACCTCATTACAATAATTAAAAAATACAGCAACATGCAAAATAGCATCCTCATGAAAGACACACAACTTTCCCTGACAGAGGATTGTCTGAGTTGCTTCTTCCTTTTCATCTGGCCTTCAGACCTGTCCCCAGAAGCTGACTGGGGCAAATGGTGACTGCACAGGAATGGCCCCCGACTGGCTAAGAAGAAACGGGGGTCACAAGTTTGCATGTTCGTATTCCACAACAGCCCCCCACCAAAAAAATTGAAGACAAAGAAATGGAAACTATATTCGGGGTTGGTACTGAGCAGCAAGAGCTCATGCTGTCAAGTTTGTCTAACAATACAGCACAGTATTGAGTGCAAGGTGAAGAATGAAGGGCAGGAGAAGACTTGAACTAGTCTAAAAGAGAAGCTCAGAGCCAGGAGAGAAAGCCCATGATCCTCCCTCCACACTCCGACCGTGGAGTGCTCCCAGCACATTGCTGTGTGATGTCTACAGCAGAAATCGCTAACAAAAAATAGGAGGATACTTCAAAAAGTGTACTGAAAATAGAATTGCAAGTTCATTTTGGTGTGAGCAAGTCTGTAATCCACACATCGGTTTTGCATAACACATGTTTTCCATGAACTTTTGGAAGGCCTCTTGTGCACACACAGCAACATACAACCAGGAAATACTGCATGCTGTATCAGGTATGTACGCACGCACACATACTACATGTAAACACCATTAGAGGCCTTTCTACTCTGATTTTAAAATATACAGTTAAAAAAAAAAGTTATACAAGGCAAAAAAAAAAAAAAAAAAGATCCAATTGCTTCCAAGAACCAGGGCTGACATGTGGAGGGGCCTCTCAAGCCAGGCCTCCAGCTGCCCAATGGCCAGCCTGCACGCTTAGGGAAAACACTGCCCTTCAGGACACCCTCAGCCCGTCCTGGGTCTCCTCCACAGACACAGCCTCCCACGGTGCTCTCCATCCTTAGAGGGCGATGACCACCTTGGAGTTGGAGCTTACCCTGCACCTGGATTTCAACATGAGCCAGCTAGGCTGTTCCTCCTCCTACTCCCTGTTGCCCAATACATAATACTTCCAAGGGAGACTTCAGAGGCCTCAACCCAATGACCTGACTCCAGTGTGGGTTGCCCCGGCAGAACACCCATGATGAGCTTCCCTGAGAGGGAGCCCTCTGCAGACTCACAATATACCTGAAGGGTGCTTTCATCTACCTGTGCTTTGGGGACCCAGGTTCAAGATGCTCAATGAAGAGTCCATCTCCTATATGAGTGATCTGAATGGGATTTGCTTGGCCTGCATCCCCACAAAATACTTCAATAGCACCTTCCCCACATTTTCCCTGCGAGGGGTTCCTTACCTTCCCCATTCTCACACACACACACACACACACACACACACACACATACATGCACAGACTAAATAATAAGCATGCCCATGTAAAAAAACAAAAAGGAAATTAAAAAAGTGGAACTCCTTACTGTGGTACTAACCATCCGAGCGGATGGGGGATCTGTCCTACAGTGCCGGGTGAGAGCGGGTAATACGGAGATATATCCGGAGGGTGTGGAGGCCGGGGGATTCCTGCAAGAGGAAGCAGCATGGTTAGCTACAACAGGAAGGGAAGGAAAGAGCCACAGTAGGGGTACGGAAACAGGACAAGAATGAAGACAGGCATCCCTTCTAGAATCCCAGCACGTGCTTCTTTCATGATGATAAGCACTCCAAGTTCTTGCCAAGATTTCTCTTATCCCCACCCTCCATGCCCACCCACAGTTGCAAAGAGAAGTTTCTCAGTCTTGATAGTCTGGGACACGTTGCCAGGCAAGCTCAGATCAGAAAAATGGCATCCAGGCTATTGTGTGTGATGATTCAAAGTTACAAAAAATAACTCAACAGGTAAAGGGCTTGGCTCACAGTAGGTGGTCATCTAACACTGAATTCTCCTGGGCCCTTAGAACCTGTGCCTTCCTGAACCTTCAGCAGTTCCAAGGACTTTGCTTGCATGTGAGTTTTTCCTCTGGTTCCTAACACAGTTCCAGAAATAGCGACTTGGGGAAGACCATTCTCACCAAGGTGACTCCTCCCATCATTTACAATGTTGAGCAGGGGGAATCGACCACCTGGCACTCTATCTGGGACAAAGGCAGGGAGAGGCTGGAGACCTGGCACCCTCAATTCTGCGCCCTCCTTCCCTGAGAGCTGGGGCACCTGCCACGGGTTCCCATGGTGTGTGCCCCCTCCTCACCCCACCTGCCAGGCTGGGAAGCCCAGGGAGTGATGCTCACAGAGAAGAACCCGGAAGTGAGGGGCATGACACCCATAACAGAGATGGTTCCTGGATGAAAATGATTTCACGAAAAAAAAAGAATTCATTCTGGAAGTTTTTAATTTGTAAATTAAGTCTCCCTTGGTGACATTTTCACACAGACATTTCTTTCTCTCCATTACAAAAACCAAACAGATTAGCTCGGGCGAGAACCCTACACCAAGCCATTTGCACACTTGAAAGAATGTTCGGCAGAGGAAAAGTAAACAGTGTGCAGACGTTAATCACATGTTTTACGATAACCATTTAAAAGCTATTCCCTGTACTGCCATTATTTAAATGAGACGCTGGGCTGCCATTCATTTGCAGGGCCCAGGCTGGCTGGCGGCCTCCTCCAGCCCTGTGAGCGCCAGGCCGGGGCCTGTTTCAGTACCGAGGGGGCTCGGCCCGGAGGCCAGGGAGGACCTGCCCCTGGGTAGCTTCCTGCAGGGACCAAGCAGGCCGCTCCTCCGGGCCCATGACAGAGTCACGTCCCTAGCCAGCTAAAATCTACCCTTCCATTCCCAATCTGTGGAGAGGGACCTTGTACCACTCTGTGGTCCAGCCTCAAAGTGGCAGGTGGCCTTCGCTGTCCTCCCAGGACCAGGCCTCCAGCCCAGCAACCCTGCCTGCCTTAAGGCAGTCAGGGACCAGGCATGAAGAAAACATGGGGACAGGTATAAAGGCTGCAAGAGAATGTGGTGACTGTGTCCTGAGACAAAACAAGATCTTCCTAGTTGGCAGTCTTCACATCTGTAAAATGGGCTTGGTGATGAAGAGGCTACCATGAGAGAAGCAAAAGCCCAAGTGAATCAGCTAGGAGCCTGTGGATCCCCACTAGGTGATCCCCAAGGGTTGCAAGCGGATCAAATTCCTGAACCATGCAGGGGACTGGGCCTTGGGGGAGCCCGGAGACTTCTCCTCCTCCTCCTCCTCCCAGGAGATGCCTACAGCAGGGTGCTGCCTGCCCAGCCTGTCAGGGGCTCTTGGGGTTGGGGGTACACCTAGAACATATCTAGGAACTGGGGTCCCCCACACAGTGGCCTTCAGGGCACTCACTGCTCCTAAGAGAGCTCTAGGACTTCAAATGGACTTCTCCAAAGCGGCGCAGAACACCTCCCCAGCCCAGGCCCCGGGCCCACAGCCTACCTGTTTTGGGGTCGACATCGGCTGGTAAGTGTGGAGGTGGGTTTCCGGGCGTGAAGTGCTCATTGCTGTAGGTGATTAGAGGCGTGAGGGGGTGGACGTGGTGAGGGTGCTGCACCACCGGCACTTTGTTCGACTGTGGGGAGGAAGAGCAGAGAAAAGCACCATCAGGTGGGTCCTAGCAGCTTGGGACCACCGAGCACAGGCCTGCGGCACCTGGGCACAGCCTCCTACCTCAACTGAGGAAGGTACACTCAGGTGTCCTCGGCCCTGCCCCAAACCCATCTTCCAGTCCAAAGTGACAGATGACAGCAAGACACACCGCGGTTTAATCTGCTTCCATGTCTCCCTCCTCAATGTACCTGGCTTTTCAACTTCCGTCCTTGCTAACACCTCATCACGGAGCCCCATGAATGTGCATCTCTCCAATCAGCAGGTGAGTTGGAAATGGGAACTTTAATCTCCTGGGGCCTACTGTGCTCGCACGTGGGGCTGGGATCTCCTACCCCAAGACCCCACTGGTGGGACCTCTGGGACACAAGCAGGCCTGGCTTGGGACCAGTCAGGAGAACCTTCATTTACAAGAGCTCTGCAGCTCCCCACCAGGACCCAGGGTTCAAACAGGCCACCCTCCAGGGCACCTCCCCTGCCTGAGAGGCACAGCAGGCCGGCCACAATCCTTTGCAGACAGTGGCGATGAAAAAGCCCACTCAGGTACTGGGGTAGGAGAATAAACTTGACCAGAAAGCTCAACCGCCTGGCCAGCACCTGCATATTTTATGCAGAGTGAGGCAGCCCTGATTCATTAGGAATTTCATTAGAAAGTCTTTGGGGGAAACGCTAATAAATTAACTGGATGATGATGAATTGGGCTAATAAAAGGTATGCGTGGAGGAAGGAGGCAGTTCCAGAACACAAAGTACGGGGTTTGGGAAGAGCGGATCAGTGGAGAGAAGCAGACAGAATGTGGAGAAGCACTGAGCGTCTATTTGCAGGTGTCATGTCTGGTCCTTTCTCCAATTATTCTCTTTTCCCCACCCAAACCAATCCACCCATCCCCGCTCCACTGCACTGGCTACAACTTAGCCCAGCAAGACCACAAAGAAAAAAAAAAAGCTGAAACAAGCGAACTCCGGGGCCATTTACTGAGAGTAATCCAATTGCAAAAAACCCTATTCCCCATAGAGGATTTTCACTAAAATCCTACAACAGGGACATTTAACCAGATTAGGTACCAGCGAAGATAAAGAGGCTAGTACTAGATGATGAATGGATTAGAGTCAAGTTTCATTTCAGAACGTGTCTTCATTTCCTTTTATTACTTTTAGGGAGGCACCACTTGCATTAACATCAAGGAAAAGGGAAGCGGCCAGGCCCCAGTGCTGCCCACTAGCGCCTCCCGAGTTCAGGGACCACCGAGCAGTCAGTTCTCTTTCGCCTACTGCTGCCTGGCCTTTCCGTGGATGGCAGACGGAGGAATCTAACAGGGGGAAGAGTATTTTTTTTTTACCACCGCTAATTACAAGGAAGGCATACTGTTTAAAAAAGCACTTCTGACTTTTTTCTGAGTACCTTTGGAAAGAAAAATAGATGTTGGAATGGTGGCTGGGGGAGGTGGGAGGAACCTACAGGAAAAGGATATACTTCCCATAAACAAGTGGTCTCTTTCTAGAGAAAACGGCCAGTGTCTAGCACATGGGAGCCCCGTGTGTTGTGTCGGACTCTTTGGCCATCACAGCAATTCAGCGGGAAGCTACCAAGGCAGAGGAAGACCATCAGACAACCAGGAAACCTCCAGAGTTGCCAGCCAGTCATCCCGGACATGCCAAGGTCACGGTTCCCAGGCCAGCAGTTGCCACTCATAAGCATACTCTGAGGGTCTCTGCAGGGGAAGACTCATGTTTGAGGGCGCCCTGAAAAGTAATGAACTTACTGAGAGGCAGAGAGAGAGAGGGTGGGGGGGAGACTATCAGGAAGAAAGGGAAAGGACTGTTGCTGCCTTCCAGAAGTTTCCTGCTTGGTTAGAAAGCTACACACCCGCGGACATGAAAGAAAGCTGAGCAGTCCGAGGCAGTTTCAATCAAGTGTAGAAAAACAGCATGTTCAGTAGGGGGAAATCACACAGCGTGTGCAGAAGGGAGGACTCTCCTGAGGGGTGGAAGGACTGGCCCGACACCACAGGTGCAGGTCCCCCCACGCGCACCTCCGTGCGCAACAGGAAGCAGCCGGCTTAAGTATAAAACCACATGGGGGCAATGAAACTGGAAGTCCCCAATCCTGGCGAAGTCAGGCACCTCTCCAGATGCCTTGTGCAATTCCCAGATACCTCAGTCCCAGGAGGTCTCAGAAGGGCCCAGTCAAGTACACCTACACTCTGAACATGCACCTGTTCAGCCACGACCCAGCACACCCCAGGCCAGAGAGCCCCCGGGGGCCACCACGGCCAAGCACAGAAGTTAGGAGACTGGAGTTGCAACAGAGTCAAGTGCAGGCGGGAGAAAATCTAGCAGGTGGTTGGTTTATCACTATTGCTGGCAGGTTATTAGTCATGTGATCGCTATTGCTGGGAAGGAGCTGCCTGATGACAAGGTTCTGTCTGCAGCACAGAACAAATCCCACAGCCGCTGTCCAAGTGGGACCACCGGGAATGCGGGGGAACCCTGTGCCCCTCTTGTACACCACATCATGAAGGCTGCGGCTGCGCAATCCTGTCTTTCCCCGGGTGTGGGGTTTACACATTAATTCTCCTTTACTAGCTCCGTGCATGAAGCAATTCCAACAAAACCTGCAGCCCTGCCCCAAGTGCCAATGCCCCTGTATTATTTTGCTCACTTGTCCTAACCTGTCCATTCAAAATGTTGTAGTGTGGGAGTCAGGAGGGTGCAGGAGGTGACAGCGGAGGGGGAAGTTTTAGGTGCTGCCTGCCTGGCTTTCAAGGAAAACTGGCATCTCTGCCAGGGCCTGGCCATTCCTTCTCATCTCAAAGGCCACCCCAAGCTTGTAGGACCCTGACAACATCCCAGCCACCTGTCTGTGTGAGATGACCAGGTCCCAAGGTGCAAGGAGCCCTCGTGGGTCACACCCATCGAACAGGCTGACCTGCCTACACCCTGACTCCTTTTACGATGGGAGGCCTGTGGTGTCCGTCTCTCCAGCCTTGAGACCTCACACAACCCTTTGTTTCCACGTTGCTTTATACTCGCTGCTGGCCTGCCTCTGCCTAAGTTTCCTAAGGACAAGGATAGAGGCTTGTAGAACTTTGCGTCCCTGCCATGCCCAGCCCTTGAGAATGGTGAGCACAGTCACAAAAGCTATCCACGAACCTCCATGCTGCAACTTCAAGTATCGGGAGAGGAGGAGAGCTGCCCACAGCGGCTTGTTTCAAGGAAATGGCTGTGCTCTTTAAATGTCCTTGACTGAGAATCACAGAACACCCGGGAAGAGGAGGTAGGCAAGGGCTTCAGGAGCCAACCAGGCCAAGGCCCTCCACTGCAAACTGCCCTTGCAAATTTTAAATCTTTTTAAATTCGTTCACTCACTTTTTTTCTTTTCTTTTTCTTTTTTTTTTTAATTGAAGAGGAAAAAAGAAAATCTTCAGTTCACTGGTTCACCCTCCAAATACCCCTCCCTACTCTGAAGCCGGGGACTCAGTCTTCAACCTAGGCCTCCTGCATGGTTGGCCAAATCCTCAGGCCCCTGGCATAGCCCACAGGAGCCACCAGGGATGAGCACTGTGGCTTCGGGGTTTGTCCTGCCTGCCCCAGCTGGGAACAGCAGGCATCCGGTAGGGTGGCTGTGCCAACGCAGGGAGAGCTGCGCGTAAATCACAGGGCTTGGGCTGGAAGCACACTGCTGGCAACTTTGGAAAGCTTGTTCCGTGGCTCCTGAATGTGATGACGCAGTGAGCGGTGCCTGTGGTCTCCTCTTCCGGTTGCATTGCCGGAGTGAGAGCACAGCTACAGATGCTCACTGAGGGACAAGAGTATCCTGGGAGAGGAGTGGGTTGTGGCCACTGGCTCAGGCCCAGTACTGACATCTTGTGCAGACATCTTTGTATCTCTTGGGAGAAGACCCATTACTTGAGCACCCCAATCAAGGAGATGACCAGAGGGGAGCTGAAGAGGAAGGAGGAAACACAGCAAAAGGTCTTTCTAGAATCAGGGAGAACTGATGGACAGCAGAGCTTTGCACTCAGGACAGAGAGGAGGCCTCCCACCTCCTCCTCCTCCACCTCCCCCTCTCTGAGCATGTTTTCCCTAGAGGTTAGGCACCCTGAGAAAGTCTGCACCTGGGGGTGTCATCGCTGGGACAGCAGGGGATGCAGACGGCAGGGCGGCCAGGACAAGAAAGCAGTAACAATGTAGGGAAGGGTGGTGGGCTACAGGGACTCCAGTGTCACTCATCTCCTTGCTTTATCTTTTTATCCACCAAACAATTGCCACATCAACCCTGCTGTTTTTCAGGTAACTACTTAACTTAAAGGTGGGGGTGGGATGCCAAGTCATTCGTCCTGCTAACTCCTGTGCAAGGTCATGGCAGCGAAGGTCAAAGGAACCAGCAGGAAGAACTTCGGTCACTGTGGAACCCTCCAAGTTTAAGATGAAAATGGTGACTCTTCTCAACCACATTCATTGTACCTTCCCCCCTGCCGCGCCCCCCTCTCCCTGCTGCCCGCCCCCTCCCCCATCCCACAATGTTTCAGCACACACAGCCTTGTTGCCGCCACCCTCAGGACGTGCAGCTCACTTCCAGAGCCTCTGTCTGGGGTGACCTGACCAAGCACACACACCTCCTCCCCGGGCTCTGATCTCCTGGACCTCCATTTGGCTCAGAGCTGCCACCATGCGAGGGAGTCCTGCCTGTGCACGAGCCTGCGCGTGGCACACGTGACACACTTAGCAGGGCGAAGTCCTCACGACTCAGAGCGGAAGTCGCTACTGTGTGCTAGCAGTTCGCACACAGCAGGCGAAGGCCAGGCCGGGCCAAGCTTATCCTCCCTGGCGTGACCCTCTCCACCTCCTTTTGGTGTCCGCAGCTTCCTCAGGGACACCTACGACTCCAATTCTTGTGAAGGGGTTGGATGCCAGGCTAAATGTCATGGGGGGCAACCATGGACCCCGCTAGCCTTCCTAATTG